CTAATTGCCTGATTGGCCCATTCATTCTTTAGAAGGGTGTTCTTTAACCTCCATGTTTTTGGCGGTTTTCCAGACTTCTTCCTGTAATTGATTTCAAGTTTCAAAGCATTGTGATCTGACAGTGTGCATGGTATGACCTCTATTCTTTTATATTTATTGAGCCTCCTCAGCCCATTTTTAAATCAGATTGTTATTTTGCTGTTAAATTGTATGAGTTTTTTATTTATCAAGTATATGATTTCTGAATATTTTCTCCTATTCAACAGGTTGACTATAATTTTTTTGATGGCTTTCTATGCAGAAGCTTTTTATTTTGATGTAGTCCCATTTGTTTATGGCTTTTGTTGCCTTTGCTTCTGGCAAAGTCAAAATATCATTGTCAAGACCGTTTTAAGGAGCATATTCTGTATGTTTTCTTTTAAGATTTATAGTTTCAAGCTTTATGTTCAAGTCTTTATTTTCAGTTGATTTTTATGTGTGATGTGAGATAATGATCTAGTTTCATTCTTTTATATGTGACTGTCCGGTTTTCCCATCACAATTTATTAAAGAGACTGTCATCTCCCGTGTGTGTTCTTGGCTCATTTGTCATAAATTAATTGACTATATGTATGGATTTATTTCTGGGTTCTCTGTTCTCTTGATCTGTGTGTCTGTTTTTATGCCAATGCCACGCTCTTTTGGTTCCTATAGCTTTGTAATATAGTTTGAAATCAGGACGTGTGATATCTCCAATTCTGTTTTCTTTTTCAAGATTGCTTTGGCTTTGGAGCCTTCTGTGGTTCCATACAAAGTTTAGGATTGTTTTTCTAGTTCTGTGAAAAATGCCAGTGGAATTTTGATAGAGTTCACTTTGAGTCTTTATTTAAAATATTTATTTATTTATTTATTTAATATGGTTTATTGTCAAGTTAGCTAACGTACTGTGTATACAGTGTGCTCTTGGCTTCGGGACTAGGTTCCTGTGATTTATCACTTACATACAACACCCAGTGTTCATCCCAACGTATGGACATTTTAACAATATTATTTCTGCCAGTCTATGAGCATAAAATATCTTTCCATTTATTTTGTCTTTTTCAGTTTCTTTCATCAGTATCCTATAGTTCTTAGGGTACAGGTAAATTTTTCATCTCCTTGGATAATCTTATTCCTAGGTATTCTGTTCTTTTTGAAGCAGTTATAAATGGAATTTAAAAAAAATTTCTAATCGTTTGTTGTTATATGTAGAAATGGAACTGATTTCTTACACTGATTTGCATCCTACAGTTTTACTGAATTCACTTTTTTATGTTTATTTATTTTTGAGAGAGAGAGAGCATGAGCAGGGGAGGGGCAGAGAGAGGGAGACACAGAATCTGAAGCAGGCTCTAGGCTCTAAGCTGTCAGCACAGAGCCCGATGTGGGGCTCAAGCTCACAAACTCTGAGATTGTGACCTGAACCAAAGTTGGATGTTTAACCATCTGAGCCCCCAGGTGTCCCTGAATCCACTTATTCTAACAGGGTTTTGGTGGATTCTTTTAGTATTTTTTATATATATAATACGATCATATATAAAGAGAGATTGTTTTACTTCTTCTCTTCCAATTTGGATGCCTTTTATTTCTTTTCATGCTTAATTGTTCTGGCTGGGATTTCCAAAACTATATTAAATAAAAGTGGTAAGAGTCAGATCCTTGTCTTGTTGCTTATCTTAGAGGAAAAGCTTCCAGCTTGTCGTCACTACTGAATATACTGTTAGCTGTGGGTTTGTCACAGAAGGCTTTTATTATGTTGACTAACATTCTTCTATACCCTGTTTCTTGAGAGTTTTTGTCATGAATGGATGTTGAATTTTGTCCAATGCTTTTTTTTTTTTACATCTACTGAGATGATCCTGTGATTTTTATCCTTTGTTTTATTAATGTGTTGTATTACATTGATTTGCAGATTTTTTTTAATGTTTTATTTATTTCTAGGAGAGAGAGAGAGAGACAGCATGAGTAGGGGAGGGTCGGAGAGAGAGGGACTCACAGACTGAAACAGGCTCCAGGCTCTGAGCTGGCCGTCAGCACAGAGCCCGACGCGGGGCTTGAACCCACGAACCGTGAGATCATGACCTAAGCGAAAGTCGGACGCTCAACCGACTAAGCCACCCAGGCGCCCCAATTGATTTGCAGATGTTGAACCACCCTTGAATCCCTGGAGTAGATCCCAGTTGATCATGCTATGTGATGCTTTTAATGTATTGTTAAATTTGGTTTGCTGGTACTTTGTTGAGAATTTTTGCACCTATGTTTATTAGAGATATTGGCCTATAACTTTCTTGTGGTGTCCTTGTCTGGCTTTGCTATCAGGGTAATGCTGGACTGGTAAAATAAGTTTGAAAGTGTTCCCTCCTCTTTCTTTTTGTAAGACTTTGAGAATGGTTAGTATTAATTTTTCTTTAAGTTTTGGTAGACTTCACCAATGCAGCCATCTGGTCCTATACTTTGGTTTGTTGGGAGGTTTTTTTTGTTGTAGTTGTTGCTTTGTTTTGTTTTGTTAGAGAGAGAGAGAATGAGTAGGGAAAGGACAGAGGGAGAGAGAATCTTAATTAGGCTCATGCCTACTGGGACCCAGTCTCATGTCCATGATATCATGACCTGAGCTGAAATTAAGAGTCAGACGCTTAACTGACTAAGTCATCCACGCGCCCCAGGAGGTTTTTGATTATGGGTTCAGTCTCCTTACTAGTTATTGGCCTGTTCAGATTTTCTATTTCTCCATGGTTCAGTCTTGGTAACTAGTATGTTTCTAGGACGTTATCTGTGTCTTCCAGGTTGACTCATTTGTTAGCATATAATTGTTCATAGTAATCTTGTATGATCCTTTGTATCTGTGATATCAGTTGTAATGTCTCCTTTTTCATATCTAGTTTATTCATTTGAGTTCTTTCTCTTTTTTCTTGGTGAGTGGCATCTACTTTCTTCCATGTAGATACAGACATTGAAGCTGACACCATCTCCACCTTTGATGGCTTCTGATTAATCTGAGTGAATTATGGTAATCCCATTCCCCCTATCTGAGATGGATTGAAGACTAGATATGTACCTATTTCTGTCCAGTGCAATCTGTGGGGTAATATGCTGAGCAATTTGAGGTCTGAGATCTGAGAAAGACCACCTCTCTTTAAAAAAAAAAAAGAAAAGAAAAGAAAAAGGTAAAGGAAAAGATGGTATGCTGACTCCTAAAACCACATTACTGGGAAATTTTTAATTGTCTTCATGTTATAGTTACCATTTAATTTATAATTCAGTGACTGGTTAAATATACATTTTTAATGAGAGGAGAATATTGGTTAAATAATTTAAAAACTGTCAGTAAAGAATATATTTGGAAACCACAGAATATCCAACTATCAGTGTCTTGCTGTTGTATTTCTTAACCTAGCGGGATTTGTTTCAGGCTTCAGGAAGTTTGGACATAGCTACTTAGTGATGTTTCAGTTACCTAGATACTTTCTATCTCTCTGCTCCTCCGTCCTTAGCTTTCATTGTCATGCTTGTTACTTCTTGGTTACAAAATGGCTGCAGCATGTCCAAGCAGGAGGAAGGAGAAAGGCCAGTGGACAAAAAGGGCATGCCAGTTAAGTCATTCTGCTTTTATCAGGAGAGCGAAAGGTTTCCTGGAACCCCTCTCTGAAATCTGGGATGTTGTGTTTTATTTGTTGCCAGGTGCAATGTATCAACTTTATCTTCCCTTCTGAAATTTAGCTTCAAATATGTTAATTCAGTACCTTGTTTATTTTTTGCTTATGCTGTATCAACTAAAGTTAGTATGTTAGATTCACTAGGTAAGACATTTAGTTTTCTTTTTCCAAAATTTGGGCTTCTGAGCTATAAATATGTAAATTTGTGCTAAGTTCATGCAAATTATTTTTCATTTGAACCAGGCATTGTGGTAATTTTTAAATGAGTTTTGGTTTTCGTATGTAAAGTTTTTCTGTCTTAGGCAGAACAGAAGACCTATTAAACATTTGAACTGAACTCCATTATGATAAGTACAATACAGAATACCTTTTCTCAGGGTCCTTTTTGAGAACAGAGATTCACAGTCCATTAAAAGAAAAAATGAGCAGTGTTTAAATTTAATATCTGATATTGCATTCAGGATTTAGCTGAGACTTAGTGTTCTTAAATTGTATACTCAACTATTTTTTTTTACATCATCCACCTCCCCCGACCTCTATCCTGTTCATAGATGTGTTTATTCTGGGTTGCGGAGATAGATCATTGAGGTAAAAATTAAAAGGATAATGTAAGACTGAGAGAAAATATGATTTGAAATGAATTGCTGGAGGTGGCAATGTATGCTATACAGCTGAACTTTAGAGGGAATCAGGGACACGTGGCACAGTGCGGCAGCCAGTGGCTGCCTGGTGGTGGAGACAGGGTGAAATGCAGTTTTCAGTCTCTGCTCAGCAATGGGGATTAGGCCTAGATTCACAGTGCACCTCAGTTTAGGATTCTGGATCTAGGGTGGATGTGGAAGAATCGTTCTGAGCTGAATGCTAGTTCAAGTTCTTCTCACTCGTTGGAGAAAATAAATGAGGTTTTATATTTGTTGTACCCACCGTATTTTCACCTGTTGTGACTAGAGGGGCAGCTCATCATAGGGGAGTAAGTAAAACGTGAATGCTTCCAGATTGTTTGGAACTAAAGAACTGAGTAAATAAGCTATTGCACTAATATTTATCACGCTCCCATTTTTATGGCATGTAACAGCATCTCTCCGAGAACATGACTTTTTATCTTTCCTAATCTTATTATGCAGGAGGAGAGGAGTGGAAAACCAGGCTATTTTATTTCTGTGTCTCTCAATTAGGGAAGAAGGAAACTCATGAGTGACTCTTAACAGTTAACATTGCCACAGATGTTTTAATCCAGTTTTTTTTTTCCAAGTTGTTTACAGTTATTGTGGACGGTACTGCATGTTGAGGCTAATTGGAAACAGTGACCAGATTCTTAATCATTGTCAGGAAACTGCATTCAGAGAATGAGAAGAACACCCCCACTGGATGAATTGCAGCCACCGCCATATCAGGATGACAGTGGTTCTCCCCACCTCTCATGTACGCCCTCAGAAATTGGGGACAGTAAATGTGAATTTTCCCACTGCAGCAACAGTCCACGATGCTCATATAACAAGTGCCCAAGTGAAGGAAGCACAGGTCACGAAATAGAAAGTTTTCATAATAAAGGATATGAAGAAGACGTTCCAAGTGACAGCACTGCAGTCCTGAGCCCAGAAGTAAGTAAAAAAGCACGTAGAGTTTCTTAAATGGACGTTATTGGCAGATAATAATCCTGTGCTTCTCTTCTTGGTCAGCTGGTTCATCACTGTCTTATCCTTTGTGGCTTAGGGTGCCTGTGTTCTCCTTGATCTAATCTTTATCCAGCAGACGGATCAGCAGTATCCCCACCATCCTTCGCCCGCCCCACTGCCCTTCCCCAAAGGAGGATGTGTAGCTAAAAATGAGAGCAATACACAAGGTACTGAAAAGTGTCTTCCCCAGGTTTCCACCTCAAGATAGGTCTTTTTGAACGTTGTATACCAAACATTCTGGAACTACTTACGTGTTTCTTTCATCTTGAGTTTCCAATGCATGTGTTTTTTTATTTTTAAAATTCTTCCAGTTTGTATATTTTTACTTTGGGGAGGTTGCTCATTAATGTTTTATAGATTTTTCAGAAATAACGTTTTTGCATTTTTATGTCATGGCTTATGGAAGGGAGAAGTGATGCTCAATTCTACTAATGAAATTTGGGTTCATGGCATCACTCACTCAGAGTCTTTGGTTTGTTGTATCTTAGTTCCTATTTTGAAGTACAACAAAAATAGGTGTGTTGAACTTTTGACATCTTTTCATGTTCTTAAAAGGATTTATTTTAACCTTTTGATAATGATGAACACTGTACCAGTAATTTGAGGTTTCCATTAGGTCGTATGTACTTTTAGGATTTACTTTCTTTTGGATTGCAGGTTTTTACATCTTTTGTCCCAGAAAATACTTCATGGTACTGTGGTGTGTCAGTATTCTCACTAGATGAATTTTCATATACTGCCAAAATTAAATAACGGAAGTAGAGCCATGAACAGAATACCCTCAATTTTAAGTTTTTCTTACATGATATCTAAAAACACAAGTTATCTGTTACTATGTTTCTGCTCTTTCTAGTATTCTAATATAGTATCTAATTTAGAAGAAAATTCCACATTAGTATTTTAAGTTTGACACATGAGTATTTCATGGTTTTCCATAAAGAGTACTCTCTGTGTTCTGTGCCTGAACAAATTTAAGACCACTATTTTGTAGGTTTACACACTAGATAGATAGTCAACAAGTGAACAGTGAAGCCTGGATTGTGGAATTAACAATAACAATAGCTGTCAACGTTGTGCCAGAAATTTGGATATAAGCTTTATAGTCAACTCAGTTAATTTTAGCAGCCTCATCTTCGGGAAGTTATAAGACTCAGAGAGTTAAGCAGTTTGCCCACATACAAGTACCTCTTAGATGGTAGAACTGCAATGGAAACCCAGGCCTGCCTGACTGCACAAATCGCTGAATGGGAAATTTGATATAGTGGCATGGTACCTTCCAAGTAAATCACCAGCATCGTGTGTGTGTGTGTGTGTGTGTGTGTGTGTGTGTGTGTGTGTGTACGTGCACATGTGTTTTAATCTGTTTCAAATAGAATGTAAGAAGAGGAGCAAGATGAGGTAGGTTAGCACACTTAGAATAGGGCTCCCGTAGGTACGGGCGGCAGGAACATGGCCTGGGTCACTCTGTCTCCCCTGTCAGTGTTCCCTATACACAGTGTAGTAACAGGGACAAGAGTTGAGGTTTTTTTGTTTTTTTTTTTTAAGGAATCTGTATACCCAGTGTGGGGCTTGTACTCACAACCCCCAGATCAGGAGTTGTATACTCTACCAGCTGAGCCAGCCAGGCACCCATGAGTTGAGATTTAAATGACAATGCCGAGGGCCAAAAACGCATATTTGTTTTCTGGAAGAGTTGCAGGGGCAATTACTCCTGGTCATCAGTAAAACTTGCCAGTTAGCCTACTAAATCAACCCAGATTTTATTTCTATCAAGGAACACATGGGTGACAGATCTTTAGCTCAGATGTGACATGATCATGTCTTGCTTGGGCTTTACATCCCTTTCTCTAGGCAGTGCTCATTTGTTCTGTTACACTTTTGATTCATTATGTCTGTCTTTGGCTTATATTCCAAGTTATTAATTTAGTTACTATCTGTAGTTACCATATCTTCTGAATTCTGCCTGTCTCTCAGATTACTTCCGTATTCATTATTTGTAATTAATACAGCCTTTGAGCTTTGCCCATATTTCAGTAGCTGCCAGCTTGCTCTCTGTTGCCACTTAAGAGTCTCTTCTCTCCTGCTTGTTTTTGTGTCTCTGTAGCAGGATTGAATATCTTCAGACTCTACAGCAAATGCACATTGTATTAATATCTAGATGATTTTATAGCCTCTGTTAGAATAAAGTACACTCTTGTGTTTTTTCAAATTTTGTTTCCTACCATTCCTTTAATAGATATTATTTATCAAATAGAAAATTCTTACTTTCCTCTTGGTTTAATTCAGGACATAGCAATCCTGAGCCCATCTACATGCACAGCTGAACTGGGGTAGGAGTGAGGGTTCCAGAAACTTTCCTGGCAAGCAAGTCAAAAACTCTGTTGATGACCTATTACTAGCTAACAGTGATTCAAAATTTAAATTTAGACACCTTGAAAGAAGGGATTATTTTCTAGTAGCCTATTTAGAGAACACAAATAGTAATTTTTATCTGTAAAGGTCCGCCCTTTTAACCCTCTCTGTGACCTTAATGAAATTTTTTACTGCCTTGGAAATCTTAGCTATTATGGTACTATTTTAGACAGTATTTCATTGAAAAATCAGGGCCATATAATTAATCATCTTTGATTGCTAATTACAAAGTGGCATACGTTAAAACATTTTGTTCTAGACTGTCAATTTTTTTTTGACAGAGTAAGAATACGTTTACCATGAGTTCATCATATTCCAGTAAAAAAAACAACCTGAATCCTCAATAAGAATTTGTTCCCTGTCCTTAAGTACTCTTCTTCATTTGTTATCTTTTTGTCATACGTGGCACCAACCGGGGTCACCCATAGGTAGACATGTAAGATTTATAACGTAAAAGACCTGAGTGTTTTTGGTTGTGTGCTGCGTCCTTCCCAACTAAAATATGGCCTGGCACATGGTTAGTACAACAGTTGGTGTTTGTGTTCAGCTGCTTTATTTTTTTTTAATTTTTTAATGTTTTATTTATATCTGAGAGAGAGAGAGAGAGAGGCAATGTGAGCAGGGGAGGGTCACAGAGAGAGGGAGATACAGAATCCAAAGCAGGCTCCAGGTTCTGAGCTGTCAGCACAGAGCCCAATGCAGGGCTCGAACCCACGAACCGTGAGATTGTGACCTGAGCTGAAGTTGGATGCTCAACCTACTGAGCCACCCAGGTACCCCTGTGTTCGGCTGCTTTAACAAGAGACCAATATGATGGCTAAAAACCACAAAGGATTGTCTTTCATTTAACAACAATCTAGGGGAATAAGTGGCTTCGCTCTACAACATCATTCGGGGGGGGGGGGTGGTTTTTGTTGTTGTTGTTGTTGTTTGTTTGGGTTTTTTTATCACTCTGCCTTCCCCTGGAATATTGTCTTAGTCCACATGGTCCAAGCAGAGCCATACATCCTACCTGAGTATCTGCTAGTGGGAAGACTGAGAAATAGAGTGAAGGTCAAGTAATTTCCTCTGTAAACCTAATCTGAATGTTTCAGACATAACTCCTGTTTGCCCCCACTGACCAAAGCCAAGTCTTATGAGCATAACTGCCACGAGGCAAGTTTTGAAGCGCAGTCTCTTGCCAGATAGTGTGATTTCTGCCTAAGATTTAGGTAGTTCTTTTCAGAAATGCAAGAAGGAAAGAATGGGACTAGGAGGAGTGGCTGCTCCCACAGGCGCCAGGGACAGGTTCAGAAACAGAAAATTGTAAAATTCATCCACATTTTAAAATGTCCATCATTTTAAGATGTTTAAGACTTAATTAAAATATTTGAAGGGGCAAAGTGGTGTTATTGAAAGGAAAGAGACCTGGGTTTGGCACGGTCAGTAAGTAGCCGACCCTCCTGTTACGTTCCAGGGAGAGTTGGACTGGCAGGAATTTGAGACAATTCCAGGTAAAATGGGTACAATTTCTTCCAGTCTCATCATTAAAATGTACAGTTTTGGTTGTTCTGGAACTGTTTAAATGTGTAGTCAGCGATTTTCAACAGTAATGAACATCAGAAAATAATACATAGTTTTAAATTCAAATTAAAAATTAAAGTGTAAATAGTGTATGTGTTATGGAAAATACGTACTTGACCACAAGTATTTTTAAGGCCTTTGTATTTATACTTTCATATTTCACATTTCCGTTGATCTCCAAGCCTCAAGGCCCTCCCACCGTGTTACAGATGGGGGTGTTTTAGAACAAACTTTGAAAAGGGGACCGAAGTTTTCAATGCCATTATACTTGTGTTCGTTATCTTTCTGTCCAGCCTACTATTGAGGTTTCAGTGCACTGTTTATAATGTTGAAAGTACAATTTAGTAGTTTCCCACAAAAGGAAGAGAGATACATCTTGAAGTATATATTTTTAATTATAAAAGCATATATCCAACTTTCTCAGAATTGTGATGGCGAATGCTAAATTCTTTGTCTTTATTATAATAAGCTTTTGAGTTTAACCTACCGCTTTTACTCCTCTGACCCTGTGGAGTAGCTTCTGGTTGTAGTTGACTGTTACTTATTATTACCTTCTTTGTGACAGTATTCACCTCCTCCTCCTAAAGCAGTATATCAGGTATTTATTTACGTGATGGATTAAATACTAGAGTTAAAAACTGAAAACATTTAAATTTGCTTTTCTTAGGATATGTCAGCTCAAGGATCCTCCTCACAGCTTCCTAAACCTTTTGATCCTGAGCCAGAAGCTAAATATGGCACACTGGATGTGACTTTTGACTATGACTCACAAGAACAGAAGCTTCTGGTAACAGTGACAGCTGTCACAGATATCCCAACATATAACAGGACAGGTGGCAACTCGTGGCAAGTGCACCTTGTTCTTCTACCTATAAAGAAACAAAGAGCAAAAACCAGCATCCAGAGAGGACCATGTCCTGTCTTCACAGAAACATTCAAGTTTAATCATGTCGAATCTGAGATGATTGGAAATTACGCAGTTCGATTTAGACTGTACGGTGTACACCGCATGAAAAAAGAAAAGATTGTGGGGGAAAAGATTTTTTATTTAACAAAATTGAATCTTCAAGGGAAAATGTCATTACCTGTGATATTGGAGCCTTCTTACAATCATTCTGTGAGTATCTGAGGAAATAGCCTGAATATGGTTTCTGTTGTGTTATGTAACATACATAATTTTTAAAATCCATGATCAACGCAACAACTTTTTCAGTCTTGTTAAGGAGTAATAATCATACTTCTACAAAATTTCTAAACCCTGGATAGGTAGGTATAATTTTTTCTCATTCTAGAAAAGCTGCCCTTGAAGATTATATGTGATTTATGTATTTTATTTAATCCTTCACAGAGTCCAGTCCAAGGTCTTATAATACATTTGTTCCTTTGTTAAATATTTATCAGATGATTGATCATGACATCAAATGAACTCCGTGTAGATTTTATTGTTTTCTTTCCAGGTTAAAACTAAGTGGTACAGTAAGATCTAGCCCCATATCTTATTTACTATACTATAGAAATTAATTTGCTTTTAATTTGCTTTTATAGAATATGTACTGCTGCCCAGATCATGGCTAATTATCTTTCCAGAACTGCTATGAAATTATTTTTAAAGGTCCAAAAGAAAATCTGGCCTTGTTACACTCTGCACCCTTTCTCAACAGTGTTGCAGCATTTCTGGGAGAATACTTAAGTTTCGTCTGTGAGCTGTTCTCCCTTTTCTCTTTTGTTCTCTAGGTTCTGATCACTTGTAAGTCTGTCTCTCTCCATACTTTTAACTAAATTCCCACAAAACATTGCAAATCACAGGAGAGTTGACCTGCTTCTTTAAACCAGGAGATACATTATGTCACATAGTTATTTAGATTATGAGAAAATCTGTGATATGCTGTAAGTGTAAATCACAAATTATATTTATTCCTCTCTGCTATATTGAATTAAAAGCATTTTTATAATATAAATACAGAGATTTTAGAACAGATGGTTATTTTTAAATAAAGGTATAATATTTTAGGGTTGTTTTTTAACTTTTAAAGGGTGTAAGCATAAGTTCAAGATCAGAGAATTTATACCAGGAAAGATTTGATCTTATAGAACCCTCTTTCACATTAGATTTTTTTTTTCACCATACCATTTCAGCAAGATGATTTCAACATTTTGAAAACCAAAAAGCAGTAGTAAGTAGAGTATAGCTCCACGGGTTTGTAGGATACTATTTAGCCTTTATTGATAACTTATTATAATTTTAAATTGCAGAATTACCATTGTGGGGAAATGGCCCCTTTAAAAATATAATATCAGCAGTTTATCAGAGGAGAGAGAAAAGAAAGCCCAGGTAGTATTTCAGAGTTGGAAAACTATTTTTTATAAAATTGAATATTCTGCAGTTCTTAATAGGATTTTAAACTTTTTCATGATTTGGTCTGAGTGATGACTAGTTAATCTGTGGAAAACACATTCTTATAGAGAATTACCTGATTTAAATTAGAAGAGAATGACTGTATCATCACGAGGTATGTATTTTGTATTTATTTACTTCAACTGATCTGTTTCCAATTCTGTATTAATTATATTCATTTCGCAAAGAAAATGAAGCCATAGAAAATAATATGGTTTTACCTCTGGTCAAACTGAATTATTTCTGTTTACATACCTACATTACATATATTAGCTTATAGTCCTTGATTGTATATTTCTGACAGCCAGTACAGTAAATTTCCGAGGCATGTTCCCAAAAAGAAAAAAGTGCTAGACAAATAGCTTCTAAGAATCCGAATAGAGAACTATCCATCTTCTGCTCCTGGAGAATTTTTTCTCTCCACTGCCACACTTTTCAGATTTACTGCCTGTGTTTAATTGTTCCTCTCTCTTTCCATCTTTCCTGTTACACCTTCACAAAATCCAAAATATTTTGGCTTCTGTGCCAAAAACAATTCAGCACACCACAATTCTGAGGTCAAGCCTCATAATTCTATCAGTTGTGTTGTCATAACAATAAAATACTCCTAGAATGTATGTGTTCTGTATGTGCTATAGTATTTATATTCTCTTTGTTTAGGTTTTGATACTAACCGTATGGAGAAGTCATGTGATTATAGATTACATGGATGATTTTATAAGACGCAGTAATAAATGAGTGAGAAGTTCTCATAATTAAATTATTCTTGTAGCTTTTGAATAATTATTTGATGTTGTTCCAAGAATATTAGCCTTTAGGCAAGGGAGAGTTTTAAGGCATCAAAAATTGATATCCTATGATTAAAACATATTTGCGTTAAATTATAGTTTACTTTCATGAGCAATAACAGAAAAATAGAATTCTACAATGGAAAGTTTAACTTTATATTCAGGAACTGATCGAGTCAGTACACTGAGAGAAAAATGATCACTATCACTGAATGACTTTCTTAGAATTAAACCCTAAGTTTCCCTGAGAGTAGGATTTAAGTTGAACTTAAAGATACGGTTTGATCACTGAATGGTAGAAAACGTACAAAGAGTTGAAAAGCATGATTTCTTTGTACAAACTAGCTGTGGCTCTAACCTTGGATAAATTATCTAATCACTTTGGGCATCAAGTTTCTCAGTAGTAAAAAAAAAAAAAAAAAAAGAATTAAACCAAATGTCCCATCTCTGATATCATGATACTACTAATACATTTTGGAAAAGGCATTAGGTAAGAACAGAAATGGGTAGATTTTAGATGAGTTAGATATGCTGAATATATGACATTTTGTTTGGATATTTATTATGTTTTCTCACTCCTCCATATATTCTCAGCCATCTTCTAATGTCTGAGAAAGTCCCAGCTAGTAGTCCCACCTCCCTGAAGGTGCCTCCACCTCCCCAGCCTGACTGATAGCTAGGGCGGGAGCCAAGCTTGTGAAGCTCTCCACTCCTGTTCATGTCCAGGAAACCTCAGTACAGACCGAACAGAGAAGCGGGTGCTGCACACCCGCATCCTGTTTGCATGGGGCTGATGGTGGAGGAATCTGATACTCAGACTCTGTAGTAATTCTGAAATAGCTTTGCTGGTACAGAGATGGTATGGGTGCTAGACAGTGACCGTTGCAGGAGAGAAGAGACCTTAGTACATAAGTGTCCACGGGGAGCAGTAGCATAGTTTCCTCACTGGGCCAGTTCTGCAGTGTGCTTTTGGGTTTGTTCTTGAAAGCGTACCATAAGCCTATTCTCTAGGCATCCTGATTCCCTTAATAAATTACTTTTCCATTTAGTGTTAGCCTCCAGTGTTTTCAGAGAATAACCCTGGCTGATAAATGTTGAAATAGCCATATGGTTTTTTATTTAGCTCTTTCAGTCCTCTCTGAAGCCAAACTCAACAGCTAGAATGTTACCAGTTACCCTTCCTGCCACAGTGTATCCCTCTTACAGGACCTTTTCTTATATACTCATCTTTGTTCATATGGCACTCTTGCCTGTCGTATAACGCCAGCTACTTGCTTTACCTGCATCTTCGGCACCATCTTACTCTGTGTAACAGTTGCCAGGAATGACCTCTCCCCCTTTATTTTTATTTTTTTTTAGTGTTTATTTATTTTTGAGAGAGAGACAGAGTGCAAGCAGGGGAGGGGCAGAGGGAGGAGAGGCAGAGGGAGGAGGGGCAGAGGGAGAGGGAGACACAGAATCCAAAGCAGGCTCCAGGCTTAGAGCTCTCAGCACAGAGCCCAATGTGGGGCTCAAACTCACAGACCGTGAGATCATGGACTGAGCCAAAGTCGGATGCATAATCAGCTAAGCCACTAGGTACCCCCCCTTTCTTTATTCTAGTTGTATTTCTCATTCAACTTGCTAGATTTCTTAATAATATTAGATTTTTTTTATGATTTATTAATAATGAGACTTTGTTCTTTCTCTCACAAGCATATAAACATACCCACAACTCTTCCTATACAAACACTATTTAACTAGCATAATGTATGCAGTGTGACCAGCTAGAAAATGGGAACTTCAGTCCTATAGCTACAAAGCACTGAATTCATTTACCATCTTGAATTAGCTTAGAAGATTCTTGGCCAGAGCCTCCAGATAACAGCCCAGCCCAAGGGAAACTTTTATTTCACTCTCGTGAGACCCTAAGTAGAGAATCCAGCTGAGCTCATTTGGACTTCCTACCACAGAAATTGTGTTGAAACTTAAGCTCTAGTGATAGAGGGTGCTTAACGTGTTCCATTCAGTCTGGCTCCGTGTCCTGTTTCCGTGTGACTGCATAGCATCTAAGTAGACACAGGAGTGGGTGGGCTTGTCTCAGCAGGAAGGAGATCCTCGGGAACTCCTAGACTTAAAGACTGGAGAAAGGAGGGGTAAAGTAGGAAGAAAGAGATACTAAAATATCACAAGAGCCAAGAATCAGTTATGAAGGAAGGAATAATTAACTTTGTCAGATGCTGCTAATGGAATCAATAATCTAAGTATTGAAAACTGCTCATTGAGGGGCATTTGGGTGGCTCAGTCAGTTGAGCATCTGACTGTGGCTCAGGTCATGATCTTACAGTTCATGAGTTCAAGCCCTGCATTGGGCTTTGTGCTGACAGCGTGGAGCCTGGAACCCTCTTTGAGTTCTGTGTCTGTCTGTCTCTCTCTCTGCCCCTCCTCTGCTCATGCTCTGTCTCTCTCTCAAAAACAAATAAACATTTAAAATTTTTAAAAAAGAAAAAGAAAATTAACTTCTCATTGAATTCAGGATATTCAGTGAGCTCATGCTCTGTCTCTCTCTCAAAAACAAATAAACATTTAAAATTTTAAAAAAAGAAAAAGAAAATTAACTTCTCATTGAATTCAGGATATTCAGTGAGTAGCCTTAGCAGGACCAATTTGGGTGGGGTAGAGAGGGTGGGCAGAATCCAAACTAGAGTGGCAATCTTGGGGACAACTTTTACACCAAATTGGGCTATGAAAGTAGGAAGGAAGAAGGCTGTAGGAAAGATATTTTTGAAGTTAGGAGAGACATGGGCATGCTTAAATACTGATGCCAATGGGGCACCTGGGTGGCTCATTCAGTTAAGTGTCTGACTTGGTGCTGACAGCTCAGAGCCTGGAGCCTGTTTCTGATTCTGTGTTTCCTTCTCTCTCTCTGCCCCTCCCCTGTTCTCTCTCTCTTTC